AAGAACAAATAGCGTTCTCAAAATACATCTTTATCATCCCAAATTTCTTTGTGTAAATATTTATTCGACATCATTTTCAAAATTGGATTTTTGTCATCCAATGATCACACCCATTAATTTGGATAAAACAGAAAAAGTTATAGAATCCAACCTCAAAGATAACGGGAAGAAACTTGACTTGGATGAAATACACGACAATACATTTAAATATTGGAAAGATTTTTCGCATATATATTTTCTCCCATTTGCAAAAAAATATCTTTCCGCCCAATCTTAAAGAGGTACTCTTTTATTGATAATTCATTTGTATTTTGTCTGATCAATACAATCTGGATGTTATTATTGTAAAAATAAATTTAAATGATACAGTAAAATTTTTATTAGTAAGTCTTCATTAAGAGACATTTTAATTGATCGAAATAAAATACACTTATTGGGGGATTAAAAAACAAGTCCAAACAACAAAAAGTTTTGTTGAGATAATCATTTTTGTATTATTGGCATTTGAACAGAAAATCACGAAAATAAAAAATAAACAAACAAGATATATCAGAAAGTTAAAAATGAAATAATCATAAATCATTTAATCGTTCTGGAATTGTTTTCAACTCTTCATTTTGTCGTATGTTATAATTAAATCTTTTTCAATTTCTCTATTGCTTCTTCTTCCATTTTAATATATTTTTTTTTAGCTCTTTCGCCTTTTATTTCCTCTTTGTTATTTTTTTCAATTTCTTCAGATTTAAACAAATAATGTGTTTTGAGTCTGTTTATTTTTGCCAAATCACAATATTTCTCATCTTTTAAAGGTGTTGGAGGTAGGTTTTATATTTTAAGTCTTGTGGTGTGTCATCTGGATGTGGTAATTATTGAACACAACTAACCCAATACAAGGCATGTTTCCACGAATTTTTCATTGACTTATCTTTGATGTTGTTCTTCTAGCATTCTGAGATGAAATTCATAGTATCACTTATTATGATTTTTGGAATATGATCTTCATTTACCACTTCTTTTGCCTTTGTGAATTCGTTACAATAATAACGGCAAAAAAATGCGTTAGATAGTGATTTTTGAGTGACAGGATAATTTCAGAGTCACATAGCTAAAACACAAAAATTGTGTTTTTGGTTAGAAAAACAAGTTTTTTTAATTACAACTTAAACACGTTTTTTTTCTAGTTGAGTCTTAATTATTATACCACTTTTCATCACAAACAATGTCTTCCAACCATTATCTAATTGGTGACTTGGTGCGTTGTCTAATATCAGCAGAATAAACCACTTTCGTTGACTCAACTCTAGATCTTACTCCTTCGGGCATTTATAAAACAAACAACTGGTCACCCAGAAGTTCCACTGAGAAACAAATTTTTGACATTGCTATATTCAGTATTTTCTAACCATCTTGGCTTTACTGATTTACCAACAAACAAAAGAATTACTTTTCTTTTTGAAATTGAACAACATACTAGAACCGTGATTCTATCCTTTGGTTTTTTACCTCCGAAATTTTCTGAATTGTCTGATATTTTTTGATGCAAAAAGTCGATAGAAATAAGCTGTCTCGTCCACATTAAAAATATCATCTATTTCAAAATTTTCTATTTCACTTTTTATCATATCTATTTCTAATAAATATTTTGTAAGGTCGACATCATTTGATCCGCCAATTGTTCTTTTTGAATTTAAGTGGTGCCTTTTACAAATATTGTCCATCTACCCACGAGAAAATTACAAACCATCAATTCCCAATTTTGAGCACATTGCTCTGCAATATGTCGTATATCTACTAATGAAATTGGTGTATTGGATTCTCATATTTCTTTGATGATATCAGGAAGCATTTCTTCCAAATTTTCACGTTTCACGTTGTGTAGTGTTTTGGTTTGGGATGCTGTTGTGAGTGTTAAATATTTGACCGGTGAAATATTTATATAAAAAAATTTTTATAACCTCTTTTGAAGGAAACTTTATATTTTTTTTTCCAAATGAGTGAATACAAAGCTTTTTCTTCTGGGTTTGGTTCTTTTAACCATGTAAAAAGTTGTATTTTTTTACATTTAGTTTAATTCGCCTTTTAGTTGGGTTTGCAAAAGACGTTATTTTTATTTGAATTTGCTATTTATTTTTATGATGATATATTTACTGTTATAATAATTTCAGTTCTGTAAAATTGATATTTTTATAACAGTAAATGTTTTTTATTGGTTTTAATATAGTAATTAATAGAAAAAAATATAAAAACACTAATGAGGGGTTCTATTTGTTTCATTTTTTTTCTCTAAAGGAGAGGTTTTACTGTAATTTATAAATTGAGTATTATTTTTTTAATTGTTTCCAAATTTGGATCACTATCAATTATATTTTCTGGAAATTTACAGTTGTAAATTTCCTGTATCTATGAAATCAACATAATCCACTTATTCTCAGTTCACTATTTTTTACAATTATTAAAATGATTATTATTTTTTTGTTGAAAGTAAAATAATTCAAAAAAAAACTTTAAAATTTTTAAATGGCTTGAACATATAAGTTTGTGGTGTGTTTATTTGTTTTTGTGAATGAAATAAAAAATTGTAACAATGAAATAATTTGTAATAAAAAATATATTTTTGCATGGTCTATTTATTTTAATGCTGGACTAATAATTGTAGGCGGTGTTTAATTTAAATATGTGAAGAAACAATTTATTTTTTTTTAAATAATTAATAAATTAACTTAATAATTATTGAAAATGGTGGAAATAGAAAACCTGGTGAATAACTGTGTATAAAAAATGATTTAACACAAAACTTGAACAATAAAAAGATATTAAGCTTAAAATTAATATTTTTTAAGATATTAAAATGAATGATATTTTCGATCGTTAATATAATCATGTGTTATAATCATTTATAATTCCCGATTTTTTTTAGTTAATTTTTAATCAAAAAACCAATGATTTAAAAAAAAATCCAATAAAAACTAAGAACAAAAGCAAGAAAACATTTCAAGACAAAAGTACTAAACATCGATACAATCAAAATTTGCAAGAAAGCTTAGCTAATAGATAACCTTGTTGAATTTATGATTAAACACAAAAAATAATTGCACACGTTTATTTGTTTGAGCAGTTGTTAATTTTTTAAAAAATTTCCAAATGTTAAAGAATACCAATATAAGAAAAGCAGACCTTTTTAATGTTTCGAGTAGCACCATCAAAGATATCGAAAGTTATAATGGCAATGAAATAAGTAATGCGTGGAAAGTATCAAAAAATGAAAAAATATAAGTGCTCGTCATTTCTAATTCGATTCGTGAAAACAA